TATTATAATATAATATATATATAATATTATTTAAAAATTATTTAATAAAAATAACATAGTTGATACTTACGTTTCTTAAATTTTATTTGTATCATTGTTCAACGAAGCTCCTTTTCTTTTGAAAAATTCTTATTGAAAATATTTTATCCTTCGGATTTCATCGTATTTTTTTCGAGATACCTTTTTTTATCTCTCTTATCTATTGGTATCTAAACATATTCGTTTGGCACTGAAAAAAAAAACCGATATTTGTGATTATTTCAATATATTAAGGAAACAGATAAAACGTTTCGCGTGCGTTGTTTATCAATATTATACTTATTAAATAGCATTACCCAACAATTTGTGAGCCAACTTTAACAATAGCTAAGTTCTTTCCTATGTTCCATATCCAAGATTATTAATAGTATATCGAGCCATTAAAAAAATATTGAAATAAGTGAAATCTCTAAACCTTGAAAAAAAAGTTCCAATATTACTTGCTTCGAACAATCTTCAAAATTTCATTTAAAAGTAAATTCTCAAAATACATTTAAATTACGATTAAAGAAAAAAAATACAAAAAATTACATTCTTATATTCGAGATATATATATGATCGTTTCGAAGAGAAAATTCAAAAAAAAAAAAAACATGGCTCTCAAAAATTTTCGATCGAAATCGAATTCAGAGATGGATAAAGAAGAATGATCGAAAAAAAAAAAAATTATAAAAAAGAAAAGAAAACTCGAGATCACGTGGGGAGGGAGGGGGGGGAGGGGAGGCGGCGTCGAGTGAAAGTGCAAGGATAGACGCTCGTTAGAACTGGATACTGTTAGTTAACGTGGCCAATAAGATGCAGGGCCGCTCATCAACCATTATTTATCGCGTGCAATTGCGAAAAATAGCTGCATCGTGCATCGATGCGCTTGGCTCCTCCGTATCTGCGTTTCAATTTCGTATTACGCAGCTCCATCGCTCTGTTTTGTGCGTTTCTATTAAAAAAAAAAAAAAAAAAAAAAAAAAAAAAAATCCCGACCGTTCCGCTACTCGGAATCCGCGCGTGCAGTCTTACGCCCGATTTACACTTACGAAAGAAGAAGTCGAAAGAAACGGTCGAGATCTTGTTTTTGATCGTGTTTGTCGATGTTTGATAAAATAAAAAAATTTTTCGTGAATTAAATTCATACAATTACGGATTAAACAGATGTCAGGATGTCTGCTCGTTTAAATAATGGAATATCTCTTATATTTTTTTTTTTTTTTTTTTTTTTAATAGAAAAATATATCGAATATATGCAATAGTTTCTTTTAGAGTTTCGGTGAAAAATATATTTTAATCAGTAGAAGAGAAAGGTTATGTTCGAAATTTTAAGATCGTTGAAACAGGAGGTGTAGATTTCTGTTGTTCTAATTAGTAAAAATAGTAGGTGGGTTACAAATCGATATTGGCATATATTTGTTCTTTTATATATTATCACTGTTGAGAATTTTTATTCGTAAATGCACGTTTGTGAATCGGGTTTTACGATTACCAAAAATGCTTTCGCGCTACGATTTCTTTTATGTCCTCGCGATTTATGATGTGTGTAGGCGTAGTTTAGAAAATATTTAAGATTTATTCGTTCGAGACTACGTTTATTTTTTCCATGTTTTCCAAAATTTCTTAAGATCCTTACAATATTTTCATTATTCCGTAATTGCGTCTATTTTTCTCGTACAATTTCGAAATTCAAAAGATTGAAATAAATAAATAAATATCGTGTATTTTAAATTATAAATATTGATAATGCAAATTAAATACGATATTGTTGAATGATCGTTATTTTAAAACGAATGCATCGATAAATGAATAATTTAATTTAATTTACGATGTTTTGAGTAGAAATAACATTTTTATTTTTTTTTTTCAATCACGATTTTTTATATACTTAAAAATTGGAAATACTTCCTTAAATATTATTAATTTTCCTTTCATTTCGGTTATCGGAAATTAATTTTGTACGAATTTTTAATTTTTCTTTTTTTTTCCAATTTCTTTAACAACAACAACGAGTCTCGAACGTATTCTCGTCCAACAACTTTGCGCTTGTGAACAAGAACAGTGGTGGAGGAGCGGCGAAGAAAAGACGCTCGTGATAACGATAAACGTATCAGCTCGTTCCCCTTTTTCCCTTTTGCCCCTTGCTGCAAACAGCTTTCCATTGTCGGTTGATCGCATAATGCACCAACATGGCTTTCCATTTACCACATCTTTCAAAATATTCCAACAATATATATATATATAACTTTTCATTTAAATTAAATCATTCTTCCAATAACGATTTGAAATTTTTTTTAATTATCGATCTATTACGATAATTCTTTTTTTGAAAAAGATATCGATTTCGAGAATTCGATCGATCGAATCCTTTCGTAATAATTTCTTAGAATTTAGAACGAAGAAAGAAGAAAGAAATAAAAAAAGAAAAGAGAGAGGAGGGGGAAAAAAAAAAAAGAAGGAAAAATTCATTTATCTACGAAGTTCGATCGCTAATATTAATGCATCTATTCTCAAGAATGACAAAGTAAGATAATGGAGTCGCTGAAATGTCCTCGAACCGGAGGAACCCTCTCACGGAAACGAATCTATTCTATCGATTCTCTAATCCATGCAAATTCTATGCGAAACGAAGGCAAACATATTTGTCATCTTATCAATGATAATAAGTATGTGTCTGCTGTCTCGGTAATTGTTCCGAGCGTGGAAATTTTCCTTGGACGTAATAATAATAATAATAATAAAAAAAAAAAAAAAAAGAAAAAGAAAAAGAAAAAGAAAATCATTTTTCTTTTTTATAACAAATCATAATAAAAATAAGAAAGTTCGGTCGTCTAAAATATAGATAAGTGAATAATGCATAAAAACAATTTACTCGTAATTGTACGAGTATAATTTCTTTTCTTTTTTTTTTTTTTTTTTTTTTTTTTTTTCGAACAAGAAAGAAGGAACGAAGATTACGAACGAATTTTGAAAGATGAAACATTATTATTTATTTCTGTATTATATCTTTCGTATCAATATTTTAATAATAATAATTAATTGAAAGGATTTATTGGATCAATCAGCCAACCAATTACCGATCTCTTTTCGTCTACGCCCCTCGCGCATGTATCTTTCGATTGGGATGAAAAAGGACCCGCCACATTTCATCACCCTCGACCTCCCATAGCGCACATTGGACGGGATGGAACCCTGGCCGACCAATGAACCATTTCAACGAAATTTCCCTTGGCTTGGGAAGAAGTAACAGGTGGATTCGATGGCGGATCAAATCGAACCATCTTGGAGTTCCATTCCAAGGAAAAGCACAATTTTTATTTTTTAATTTCAATTAAATAAAAGAATTTGAAAAATAATGGTTAATTACGCTCGAATCCGCTTCTCCCGCGGAGAATTGGTGGACAAAAAAGAGTTGAAAAATTATTGTTAGCGAAGAAAAAGAAAAAAAGAAAAAAAAAAGAATTGGAAAATTCTCAGAGAAATGAAAAATTGAAAGGAGAAAAATTCTCGACGATACTATAAGATCGATGGAAAAATCGATGGTCACGCAAATTGCGCAAAAGAAACGATAAAATGTCCTTCCCTGGCTCGCAATCAGTATCGAGCAATAAAGCGTCAAAGGAGTGATAGCAGCTAATAGACACGTTAACATCTTTATTCCATTCGTGGCACACCGTTTCCTAAACCATTTTCACTTACGTTCTAATGTAAATTGACTTTAATAAGCTTTCGTTGCGCTGGTTTCTAAAACGGGATTATCGTATACGTAATATCGTGGAAAATAAGCGAAGAAATTGAATAAATCTAGAAATTTGCCAATCACGTTAACCAATGTAAAAAAAATATACTTAGATCTTCTTCTCCAATTATTATAATTGGAAATATATATATATATATATATATATATATATAAGTACGTAGTGATAAATAATATCGATATAAAACATAAATTTTATCAAAGACAAAACGCGTGTGTTTTTGAACACATGTACTAAGGTGCAAATATTTTTCGTATGTATGTGTGTGTGTGTTTTTTTTTATGAAATTATACAAAGACGTATACACGATGAAAAAGATTTTATTATATTTATAATGCTATTCCAATTTTCAAATCGATAACTCGTTTAGTTTGTCATCCGGGCTTGAACAAATTTACACAAAGATCATTTTTCCCGCGGACGTTCGCAACTGCGACGTCAATTTCCACCGATCGATAATCCATCAAACGTTACGAATGTTACGTTCAAGCATGATTTCCTTTTTTTTCTTACGTTGCTGATATATTTTTCATATCATTCATCATCAATCCCACCCCCAAAAAAATAACAGATAATCGATTAAATCGAATCATCAACGAAGACGCATCTTAATCGATGTAAAATGAAATTTAAGAGCAAGAGTTTCCCATCCATGAAACATCGAAGAAGCTAATATATTACCTTTCCTACAATCCTGGATAAATCAATTCCACTTTTACTTCTGAAAATCCTTCCTTTGTTATCTTTATAATACCCATTCTCCATTAACCATTCGAGAAACGTAAGAGGAAAGCAAAACAAAACAGTATCACAATCTTCGATACGTACATTCCGCTTTCTCTCGTGCAAAAAAGTTTGAAAAACAAACTTCAACTCGCGAAGTTGGACTCGTCCTTATTGATCTCGACAACGATGCGCTTTCGCTTTTAAAAAAATTACCGGTCGGTAATTTTTCAACGTGCGACAAGTGCGGTCCGCCAACGCGCTCGCACACGATGCATGCGTGCATGTATATATATATATATATATATATGCACAGGTGGCCTTCCATTGGCCCGCTTCCCGGAGACATTTTCATCTGCGGTGAACAGCGAAGATCGTTGACCGTTACAGAGGTACAGGGAGATACCGATTAAAAAGTGAACGAACGTGAAACGAACGTGAGGAGGGAGGGAAAAGGACGGAGGAACGTGGAAGAGGTGAAGGAAAGAGAGAGAGAGGAGGAAGGTAACGCAACGTAATGGAAATGTGGATATGCGGTTGGCGCGTGCGCCTGCAGTAGGGCAGGGCAAGACGACAGCTGTTTCAGTCCTGAGGCAACATCAGTGTTGCACCTGCCTACTTGCCTGCTTGCCTGCCTGCCTGCTTGCTTGCTTGCTTGTCTGACTGCTTGCCCGCTTGCCTGCCTGCCCGCTTCCTTGCTCGCTTGCTACCTCGCTCGCCTGCTTGC